ATATAATCAAATTTCCTTTCAGACATAATTGTCTGTCCAGTTTTGTTCCCTGATCCATTTTTTTTCTTACTTGCAAGATGGGTTTTTTCATTTATTTCCCTGTTAAAAAATAAAAATAAAATAACAAGCACTGCCCTGTAAATATTTGGTAAATTTTTCCATGCTAAAACTTTTAACTAAAACACAAGCCTAATAAGTAGAATTGCCATAATTTAGAATGCTGTAAACACAGATCATACTGTAATCAAAAAGAGGTGGCCAAGTAGGTGTTTACCAACCTGATCCCTATGGCAGGAAGAAATCTGTAAGAAGATACAGTTTATCAAATCAAGTTCCCTAAATCCTAGCTAGCAAATTCAGCATCCCTCATAAACACTGAATTACCCTTACAGATGTTTGCCTATGAAATTATCAACTACAGAAGGTACTGTGCTAGGAGAGACAATCTGTTCAGCATCAAATCTAAAAGAAATGCTCTATCTTCATTTTTGATTCCAAAAAGGATTTGATAGTTTGTTGATTTTTTTAAAGTAAATTCTTGCTATGAACAAATAAATCATACTACTGCAGAACAAATAATCATTGAGCATCCATCCTTAGCTAGTAGCATTTAGAGCATGCTGCTCTCCTTGGCTTAACTCTTCCAGAAATGATTACTCTAGGATCCATAAAACCCCATAGAGCTCAGAAAAGAAGCTGCTGCTGGTGCCCATATTACTACAGATGAGCTGCCTAGGAATCCGTCACATGATCGATGAATGTTACTGCAAAATGCCATCACTGTGGCCAGAGTTGTTATTATTTTTTATTTCCATTTACACATGAGAGTAGCTTGACTCTAAAGAGTAAATAGCATGCTGACGGAAGCAAGTGTAAAAGCTGGGATGCATTGCACAGATTGCTGCTTTTAAGTTTCTGATTTGTAAAATTCATAATAAGCAATAATATGCTTGAAAAGGAGCAAAGACATCTGAATTTGTATGGCTCATTTCGTGGGAGAAGATCAGTTTGGTGGAAAGGTGTTGTAGGCCAATGAATTCTAGTTTGTTCAAAAAACTACTTAAATTATTCTGGCATAACTGAATTTGTACAAATTGAGGAAACAACAGAAGCTGAAATGAATTGGTGGTTGAATCCACTATAATGTTAATCATAAAGCAGACTGGAGGCTGCTAAGTAAGAATGGATTCAGATAAGCCAACAGGACCAGAAGAACATATAGCATGACTCTCGTCAGAGATTTGGAGAACTGTGACCTGAGGCAAATTACTTCACCTCTCTGACTTTCACTCTTTACCATTCTGTAAAGCATGACTAATAACAGTTTTTGAGGGTTGTTGTGAAGGTTCAAAGACATAATGTGCTTACGAACTGTGCCTGGCATGCAATAGACAACACATTACTATTATCAGTTCTTTTATTATTAGAAGCAAATTTGCTATTGTTTTATTATTATTTGAAATTAGATTAAAAAATATTAAAGAATGACAAAAAGGCAGAATTAATTTCTAAGATCTGTTCAAATTATGTTGGTTTGCTGGTATTCTTAAAGTTGCTGGAAATGTCAGCTACTGTCTAAAGCAATTTTGTTTAATATTCAGAGATTCTCACTCTAGAATTGTGACAGGGTGATTGAGAGTTGGGTGTAGTGCAAAGATCACTAGATTTAGAAAACAAAGGCCAGATACTATTTTACTTCTGCCACATACCAGCCCCACCCTGGATTGCAGGTCATTTAACCTCCCTGGACCTCGATTTCATGAAATAATAAGAAACTACCTTACTCCTTATGACCAAATAAGACAATGAGATTCAAGTGCTTTGAAAAGCTGTCACCTGCTATAGGAAAATAAGGTTGACACATCAGGTCAAGTTAGCCTGTTGTATGTAATCTGATTGCACCTGCAAGGGCATGAGGGCAAGAAGAAAATTGCTGGAAGATGAGACAAGGTGGGCTCCGGCATATTATAGCACTTTGCCCAGGGGGGCAAAGAAAGAAAAGTGGACCCGCTGGTCTGAAGGGGTGCTGAGAACATTGTCAGATGAATGGTGAGAAGGGCTTTCAAGAGAAACCAACTGGCTTGAATTTGGACAGCATTTTGAGAAAGGGGGCCATAACAAAACACATAAGGTGAAAGCATTTCCATAGCCTGGAGGACTGAGGGGCTGAGAGTGGGGAAAGGCTGGTTGTGTTGCATTTGGTTAATAAAAGAAGTCTGTCTCCCTGTGAGATGAAGTGGGTTTGCATATGTTTGCTTGCCAGGTGGTGGAGGGAAAAAAGGGGGATCAGGGAAGTGGGAAAGATGGGAGAGCAAATGGACTCAGATTTTCATGGTGCAGATGCAAACAGTGTGCATAATTTAAATTTTCCTTCATTGGAGGTGGGTAGAGAGATGGAGGGGGTAATAACTAGCTCATGCTTCTAGATGAAGACACTGAAAAGCAACACAGCTAGGAAATAAGGGAATCTCATGAGCAACCAGAAGCCAGCTCCTCCACTCTGGGGCTAGTGCTCCTTCCTCTGCATAGCTCCCCTCAGTGAGGAGAGATGACATTGTTTGGGCCTCTGCTTAGTTTGAAAAGCAGTGAACATGGCCAGGAGAGGTAGGGAGAAAGAGAAAATGTACTTTTCCCTAAGAAGGGGATTTATGGGGAATGAGGTGACAAATTTACTGCGGAACCTGCCACAGGCCTCTAAGGCCCTCAAACCAAAAGGAACATGAATGTGTAATTAAGACAAAAAGCCCAACAAGCATGTTCTATTGTGACAAGCAAGGTGGTCTATAAAAATTTAACAATTAGTCATAAAATTGGGGACGCAAATTTCAGAAAGCTTATTTTTATTCGAAGCATGGGGAATGAAACATTCATTCTTTAATAAAAGAAAGCCCACTCATTAACAGCGTTGTTGGAAAAAAAAAAAAAAGAATTCTATACAATCTATAGCCCTTCAAAAAAAGAGACATTTCTCTAGATTCTCTTTCAAGAATAACAGAAGGACTTTTGTTACTTTCTCAAAGCATGTTATCTTTTGTGAGCCTATTAAGGAAATCTGCTTCTTTTCTTTCCATGTGTAAGTGAAATTCTGTTGTTTCTCTAAGTGGCTCCTTTAGGAGACTGGTGTTGCCAGCCTCTGCCAGGTGTTCACCCTCCTTCCTGCATTTAGTCACATAACCAACCACCTAGGCACCAGGGCCGGGTTGCTTTCAAGTAGGTGATTTCAATTGTGACAAATTAGGTAGAGATTTTGAGGTATGTCTGGCATTCCTTTGGGAGTTAAGAAAAAGGCCACTGAGTTTATTTATGCTTGTGACTTGGAGAAGAAAGGAATAACAAGGTTACAATGTAGAGCAGAGTAAGACATTTCTTTCAATGTTACTACCTTCTGTTAAGGAAGGCTGTTGACAAGTGAGCAAGGATTGAATGTATTTTCCCAATGGGAAAGGAGCAAGCAGCTGAGTTCCCAGTGTGCATTCCTTTTGTGGCACTCATAACAGCTGCCTCGTCTCCACCCAAAACGTCGGGCCCCTGAGATAGATGACTGAGACAGATGACTGAGGGGTTGCTGGGTTCTTATCTTACCAAAGTAGTCAGCATAGCCCTAATCCAGCAGTCCCTAACATTTTTAGCACCAGGCACTGGTTTCATGGAAGACAATTTTTCCACAGATGAGGGGGTAGGGAGTGGGAGTAGGGGTGGGGAGATGGTTTTGGATGAAACTGTTCCACCTGAGATCATCAAGGCATTACATTCTCATGAGGAACACATGGTACCAGTCCATTGCCTTGGGATTGGGAACCCCTGCCCTAATCCATATAGTCTTATCACTGATCAAAGTGATATGACTGACTCATCTCTTTAATAGTCAAGAACAGTGTTCTTGGGCTGAAACAGGTGCACGAATGTGCACATCAGGTATACTCTGGGTGGCAAGCCAATTCAATGGTAAACAGCTTTTGGCTCTTGACTATTCCTTTGGCTGCATTTTCTCAGGGCTCGCTTCAAACACTGGGCTGCTGAGAAGGCATTTACTGAGAGAGGGGGATGAAGAGGGAGTTGGAGTGACTTTGGTAACTGAGGAAAGGGGATGCAGAATTTTCACTGGCACACAGATTATTTTCTTTCCCAGATAGAAAGCCTTCATGGTTTTTATATGACTACACTGGTCATTTATTACAATAACAAGGATTTATATACCACTTGGTAGCCTATAAGGGAGTTAGGGCAGGTATTATTGTCCTCTTTTACAGACAAGGAAAAGAAATTCAGAGAGATAAAGTAATCTGTCCAAGGTCATAGAAGTGACAAATGGTAGAGCCGGTATAGGAGCTCATTACCATGATTCCTATTCTTGAGATTCCATACTGCCTTCTGATACCAATGGCCAGAGACAGTAGACAGATATGTTTTTCTCACTTAAATTTGGTTTCTTCTTTTGGTTTAATTGTTTACTTCAGGAGAGATTATAGCCACTCTTTCAACTTTGTTCTGCCCCCAAGGCATTCACACACATACACTCACTTCCATAAGTAACACTTCCCACAACATGCCATCATTTTCAAATCTCTCCTCTTCTCCTCCTCTCCCACTCCCACATCTCTTCCCCTCATTATAGGCCACAATCAATGTTGATAACCATGTTCCACGTAGTGGGCGGCAGCAGTGAGATTGAGTTGAGGTCCCAGAAAGGTAAAAGGCAAAGGTTTAGGGTATGGTGCTTGAACAGGGAAAGTTTCCTAAAGAAGGTGGTGAGTGTCTGAGAAGGATGTAGGAATGGATAGGGCAGAAGCTTAGTGATATTAGAAAACTAGCTTGATTACAAAATGGAAAGAATACAGGTAAGAAATGAGGCCACTGGAATAAGCAGAAGGGTCTTGAAGTAGAATGTCAGGATTCCCCATCATGAAACTCCTTGAAACAGAACAGTAATTACTTTAAACAGTTTAAGCAGATAGATTGCTTCATTATTAAAAGGCACAAAAATAAAGGTTTAAACTCACCCGCAAGATTTCTTCAACACAGCTTGGATCACTGGGAAGACTTACCTGAAACAAAATAAATAGAAAACATTAGGCACAATCTATTTATTTTTCTTGTACAACAGTTTACTCTGTAGGACAAACTGTAAAGCAAGAAAATCTAGCTATCAATTTTTTCCTGTTAAATACAAAAGAATATCTCTGCAAATGACTAATTTTGTTTTACTTTAATGAAGTGGTAAGATCGCAGTGCATGGTGCAGAAAGAAAGTGACTCCTTGTTCTGTCACTGATTTGCTTTCAGGCACTGACCCCTCCCCCATCCCCTCGGGCTTCTCTTTGCTTATCTATTCAAAGAGAGCTTGATCTCATGATCTTTAAGGCATCTTTGACCCTCTGACATACTTTTGTATATTATTCATTAAAAATATGAGGCCTATATAAAACACTTTGTGATTAAATTGAGTTCTTTTTGAACTTGGGAGTCCAACTAGGTGCTTACAAAACACTAAGGATAACGGTCTGCGTAAATTGCATGCTTGCCTTGGCAGTTACAAGAAGTCTAAGAAGTATACTCAGTGAATCCCATGATCCATTTTTCCCAGTGTGACACCTTCCTAATGAATCAAGATTCAAGTCACTAGCAGAGAGGTACTGAGGGTTTACTCCATGTCAGGCCCATAGCCCTTTCCTGCAGGTGCTTCATAATCAGTGAAAGCAAGAAGTGAGATAATAAAATAAGATACCAGTTGCAACACAGTACACCATCAGGAACTTGAGAGTCAGGCAACCATCTAGAAAAATGTCTGCTGATCACCACGTCATCTGTGCAGGTTTTAGGCATCCCCCAAACATTCCTATTTCCCCTTCACACCTTAACCCTCTCCAGGATTGCAGTCTGATCACATTTGCTTCCTGCCTGCTCTGGTAAGAACAGTGGGTTTCTCATTCACTGCCTTGAAAGATGAATGCCCAGTCCTGTTAAGAGAGCACTGCCATTACATCTACATTGCCCAGGCCTCTTGCAAGGACACTTATTAACTTCCCAACAGACTGAAGTATGGACTCAACTATACTTGGGGAAATGAAGAATAGAATATGGCACTAGATTTCCTCACCTGACAACACTACAAGTTAAACAATACAGCAAATCTTCAAACAGAATTATAGTCACTTCTGTACATGCATTCATTACAACCAGTATTTATTGAAGACTTTCAACATGTAAAAGTCCCCACTCCAAGAGGCCTAAAATCCCAAATAGGAGAGACAGCCTGAGACAGTCACCAATAATGAAGGGCTATCAATTCTAGATGGCCCAGTACAATCCCAGGTTACACTTGTTATCTGTGTAATTATTGATAGTATTCCCTTTCTCTCTCAAAAATATCCTCCAGTTTGGATGACAAATTTATACAGCCATCCTCCCAATAACAATAATACTCTAATACTAGGTAGAAGAAATAGGAGAAGAAAAGACTTAAGTTGGCTGGGCATACCTTGTAAAGAATCTAAAATACAGGTTTCAGATAGAGAACCACTGGTGATTTGGTGTAGCACAATTCATTCATTCATTCAACAAACAATTTTGGAGAGTTAAGGACTGTGCCACTTGGTGCTAGGCAGAGTTACAATGGGAAGCAAAAGGAGACACAATTTCCTCCCTCATGGAGTTTACAGGCTCAATAGGAAGGTGAATATGAAGAATCACATAGTTAATGCACAACTATAAGCTGTGGGGAAGTACTAAAAAGATGACCATCCCGTGGACAGTAGTTATGCAAAATAAAAGGTTTTGTGTCCAAAGAAGTATGGGAAATGTTGCAACCCATATTGTATCCCTCTTTGGAGATCCATGATGCAAATAAAAAGGTGTGAGACACCTGTCTAAAATTTTTAATAAAGTACATTCCCAACTTCCCTGGCCCTTAAGTCTTGGGTTTTTAATTTTAGTTGTTTTTTTATTTGTTTGTTTTATTTTCCAATTAATAACTACTGCTATTTCACAAAATGAATGTTTGCAGAATATACACTGGAAGATGCTAGTCTAACATGTTTATATGATTATACAGCTAAACTGGCAGTTCTCAACTGCAAATACAACCTCATTCCATTGCTCAGTGCTCCAGCAACTGTATTTTCCAAGAGAGTTCTTGAACTTCTAACAAACACATTCTCCAAATACAAAGATCAAAGGATTATAAGAAAGGCTTAAATCTTCAATATCATTGTTGCATTGTATTAGAGTGTGCAGCCTAGGCTAAAAATGTATGGCCCAGTCTCATGAAAAGGTCTTTGTTCCCCTTTTCCCACACAAACACATCAGCGTTAATTTTTAAATCAAAGTGAAAATATATGAGTGATATGCAGACACAGCAAGAGCACCTGCTGATGAGTCAAAAGGGTTGGGAGGGAGTCCTGGCCCTACCACTTGGGAACAGGACTTAATAACTGTACCTTTCTGAGTTCCAGTTTTTCCAAATGTAAAAGAAAAGGAAAGAATAATAGTAATACCAATCCTTTTTAAATCTCACAGGGCTCCTGTGAGCATCCTGTGAAATAAGTGATGTGACTGTGCTTTGTAATCCGCAAAGCCCAATACAATGAATTAAGTTATTACCCCTTGTCCTGCTGTTCTCCTTACTTTTCTTAAGTCCTGTCTTCTCATCTTTTCAAACTAAGATTTGACTCACTCTTGCCAACTGAAAATATCATCTCCCCTCTTCGAAATATAAATATCCACTTCTTTATGGGAGGAAATGCTGTCAAAAGAGAAAAAGTTGGGGACTCTGGAGCTTTGCAGCACATTTAATAATGACTGACTATTGGAGTCGGCAGCACTCAGGACAGACAGAGAAGAACTCTAAAGGCAAGAGCAGTCAAATAAATATGCATTCACACTCAGTGTTTAGATATTTTTCTTTAGAAAACACTAAAATCCAACATTCTCATAAAGTCACTAGTTCCACAAATTCATCTAGCCCAGGCCCACAGCTGTTTTCTCCGTAAGACAACCACATTTGAACCGCAAGTGCTTTTCCTTCCTGCAAGTGTTTTTTAATTAACCAGTAAATATTTCCTACGTGCCTAGTACAGTGCAAAACATGGAGAGTTGGTAATACAAATCACTCTGAGTCTCGGGTTCTTTCTCTCAGAGTTAAATGTCTAGATGGGATAGGAAAACAAACAATTAGAAACCCACTGGGACATACATTGTAAGGTAGTCATGACAAGGGTAATAGGATCGCATTCATTCGCCTGTCCGCCTATTCATCAGCTCTCCCATTTATTTCTTTAGACAACAAATCCTGATTGAGCTCACACTGTGCTCAGGATGGTGCCAAGAGGGAGGATTTAAAGACACTGAAGACAACACCATTTCTGCCTTCAAGACTCCACGCAAATTGAGGAAACAACATTTACAGGGAAACAGACAAGACCAAACAGTAGGTCTGATTTAAGTGCCAGGGAAAGGGTACCTACCGGGTTCACCGACACTGCCATGTCAGACAGAAGCTCCCAGCCGTTGAGGTCCCCACTGTAGTCCTCGCTCCATATGGGAGTGAGAGGCCAAGGATTCGACATGGCTGAGAAGTGATGGGGCCACCTGAGGCCACTTCAGTCACTGAGTCCCCTGCGGAGATGCACCAGGGTCACTCTGCACACTGGAAGAAAGCTGAGCTAAGGCTAGGGCTCAGCCCCAAATTCTATTCTCTTGCACTCTCTTTCTCGTTCTCTCTCACAGACACCCACACGTCTTTGCAGTAATTCTGGAGGAGTTACTCGGACAGGTGTGAAAGACAGAGACTGAGGAAGAGAACTAGTGGTGGCACTGGGATTAGAACTGCTGCCCGTTGAGTTGCCAAGCTGCTGCTTAATTCCGGAGGCACCTTCTCCTCTCTTTAAATCCACTCTTGAGTATTCAGATAGTCCACAAAGCGCCAAGTTAGCCACTCAGAGCTGCAGCGTCCTTTCTCATTCCCCCTCTCCGCCCCCTCCTCCTGGAGCAGAAAGCAAGCTGCACGACACACAGGGGAGGCTGTGCTCTCACTCCTGGCCCCAGACGACCCTCTTGTGCTGGGCACGGATGTGGTCCTCTGAGGGCCAGGGAAGGGAGGTGCACATCAGCCAGGTGGTGAGTTTACCGAGAACCCTCACAAGTGCCTACCCTCTCTGCATCTAACAGTGCAGGCTGCCACTCCATGTAGCCACAGAGATCACGCACAAATTATCTGCCTGGTGATAAATATATATCTTATGAAATAATCAGAGTTCCTTTAAATCATCAAATATTCAATTAACTGCAGCAACAATAAATGAATTGCATAGGATGGTTTAATCGGAGCATACTTCTTAGCAGTTAGGGTAATACAAGATATCAAAAACACGCTGATTGTGGCATTGAGAGACATAAGCAGCAGCCATCACTAATAGAAAACATGGAGATTAATGTAAAACATTAATAGGATAATGATCATCACATGGTTAATCCAGAGGAGCTCAATGCATACCTCTGAGTATATTATTACTAAGGGATTGTGAGAGAAGAGAGGTCATTTTTTTCCCATAAAATCATCCTGAGGGTGGTCCCACAATACCTGGCAATCATAATCCACTAGTCTAGGTATATTCCACCTAGACAAACACTTTCTCAAAGTAAAACTTAAAAACCGAAAATTTAATTGCAAATTAAATAACTGGGCCCAGTTAACCAATATCCACAACAGACACTGATGGCGACTTCCAAACTAATTCCATTTGTACTTTCATTAACAAACTTCCCCATTTGTCCCCATGATTGATTTGTGGTATACAGAAGTCCCCTGACACAGAATTACTGATAAAATAAAAACCCAGGTTATGATATTGTGCTACCAAATGAGTTTTCGATCTTTTTAAAATTTTTAATTCCCATCGTTGGTAATTTGTAAAAACACAGGACAGCAGCCTCTGAAGTTCCTATTTGCATGCATTATGAAATCCCCTATGTCTCTATCCAGGGAGTCCCAGTTTTCCAAAATGAATTTGGAAAACTACAAACTCAGTTCACATTAGGATCTGTCTGTC